CCTGAAGGCACAGTTTTGTACCCTGCTGAAATGATCAAATGAACAGTGTAAAACTAAAAACTTTAGTAAAACTGAAAAGAATGTTTAAATAATTTGGTGGGATAGATTATAAAAGTCTTTATTAAATCAGAGAGACAAATCAATTAATACATTAACTGAGTCAAAGAAACAGGCCTGTGTGCTAAAGTAATACAGTTGCTTCTCTGCTTTAGGATCCTGTCCTGAAACCTCTTCTGATTATCTCAAAGAGAGCTCCTAAAAGCTCCAAACATCAGCACACATATCATCTGGCAGAACATCCAAATTGGAAAATAGAAAAACAGAAATCTGCATCAATTTTTGGCATCCCTGAGAAAGGGGGACTTTCCTCCAAACTAATTCAGACACAGTGAAGAGCAGTGCAGTTGTGTTACATACGTAGTCAGCTTCCTAAAAAATAAACCAACCCTAGGGTTTCATATAAAAATAATCTGGATAATTTTTAAGGTACATAATATTAAAATTATACAGAAGATCTGCACATTTTAAGTGGTTAATAGGTATATTTCACCTAGAAACCTGCACTCCTGCCACTTGACGTGCTACCCTTTGCTCCAAAGGGGGAGTACCTTTAAATAATACCCCTTACAGTACTAATACATTTATATAATACTTATAGTACTAATCTTCACCTTGACTATCAGCCCTCTCAGGCAGAGAAAATGTAATAATAAACAGATTAGGCTGAATTCCTTCAGAGACAAGAAAACCATCCCAAACCTGTCTTCAATCAGGTGATAGAATTTATCACAAAATACTCCTGGCCCTCCTGTAAGGTTCTTCCAGTAGTTTATTTAGTCTGCCTGAGAGCATGGTGACTCTGCAACTGTAGCAGAGATTTACCTTTAAATGTCTCTAATGCCTTTCTTAACTTCCTCTCTTGTTTTTTTTTCTTTTTCTTTTTAATGAAGAAATGTTTTTTCAAGCTTCAAGGCTGATTTTTTTTCAAAAATTGCTCTGCAGTCCTGAATGGGGAACTAGACTAAATCTACTGCTTCAATTTGTTTAATTGATGGAAGATGGTGTGTGTGTGTGTGTGTGTGTGTGTGTGTGTGTGTGTGTGCGTGTTTTCTCAGCTGGATGTAATGAAACAAGCATTCACTTTAAAGAGAATATCTTACACTGCAGAATGTAAGACTGCAAGAGAGGAGACCATAATTTTCTTCTTAGCTTCTGAAATGATCTGTAGTGGGCTGCCAGCCAAATAATCTCATTTCAGTGTTTCAGGACTCAGACAAATGACTTCCACTGAATTTTGATGGGGTGATTAAAGAAGCCACCAGCTTCAGCTGGCTGTCTCCAGCCCTGCAACAATGCCTATCACAAAGTATGCCAATACTTCAGCCATGCCAGTGCCTGACTTAGCAGGACAGGCTGCAGGGAAGATTGATTAGTGCTGATGCTCAGCTGCAGCCAGGAGGGACAGAGGCGCAGAGTGTTCCTCTCCCCTTGCCAACAGAGCATGTGTCTGGCTGTGAGACCAGGCTCTGGATGGAGAACTGGGTTTGGTGCAGTCCTGAATCCTCCCTACAAGATTCAAGAGGAGAAATTTGTCTGTAAAATCATGTTTTGTGTTAATTACTTTGCTTGTACAATGACAGTGGATCTATGAATAGGAAATTGTACATAAAGAATTAACTTCCTATTTTTGTTAAATCAATATTTAATTTCCATTGATTTTTTCCTCTCCTTCACTTAAGAATCAAAGATATTTTTAGCTCTAAAGAAAACTTTAGTTTTTACACATTAATATTTTAAACTAATTGTGTGTGATTTTTTTTTTTAGGCTGCACTTCACAGTGACTTCAGTAGTGATTTCTCCTTCACATTGAAGATACAAGACAGCTATATGTAAAAATGAATGATTTGTACATGGGATACATTTGAACTAAACCCAAGAATTTAGAAAGCATTTATGTGGAAGGTCTTAAATTAACCAGAGCTAAGAGAAGGAGAAAGCCTCCATAGACTTTTCTTGTTAGTGAAACTATCAAAAGAACCCAAAGGTTTTCAATCCCCAATGCTACATTTTATTAGGGCACAAAATAATATATGCTGGTACATAATAACTCTTTCAAGCAGGGAAATGGTTTAAAACGTGTAGGAAATAATTTAAAGAACATCCTGGAGAAGAAAAGCAACAAACAGCTCCTCTACAACATATTTTTTCAAGCTGGGTCATTCCAGAACAAAAGGCTGCAAAAAGCTCTGTGGCTCAGAGGCCAGGACCTATGTATAAATACACAGTCTTCTTCTCAGCTTCCTGTCCTCACCAGATTTTAAACAAAATATGTAGTGTACAATACACATGCTGATATGTGATGAAGAACACTCTGCATGGGTCCAGTGTCTGCCACACCCAATCACTGCTTGCAACAAGGCTGCACTTCCAGGATCCATCACTGAAGATATTCCAGAACTGTCTGGACACAATCCTGTGCTGTGTGCTGTAGGATGACCCTGCTGGAGTGGGGAATTGGGACCAGATGACCCACTGCAGTCCCTTTCACCATGACCTATTCTGTGATGCTGGGATCAATTACCCTTTCAGGTTATTGCTTGAGATGAACTGTGACTTCCTGGTATCTCCTGGGGCATGATTGCTATTCCTCTCTTAGGTTAAGAGTTGTACAACAATTTATCAACTTATATATATTTTCTGTTGGATAAGGTGAATAATTTTTCTATTTCTGATCTTGTAAGTCAATGCTCAAGAAGATATTATGTCATTTTCTCAAAGGCCTCGATGTCCCTGTTTGACTAGGCTGGGTCAGGACTAACTAGGTTTCCTTTCCACCTGAAGACAATGCTTCCAGTATATCTGTATTTCCCAAAATTAGTTTTATTTGACTATCTACAACACCTCTCACACTGGAAAAGATGTCCAGTTCTGTAGATCCATTTGAGCATTTTAGAACTCATGCAAGCAGCACTGTTAAAGTACTGGAAACTGTGGAGACTAGATATAAAAGTTTTCATTAGTCAGTGCTGTGCTAAGTAAAAGAAATGAGTTAAGCTTCTGCTGCAGAAGTTTCTACTCTCTGGCATTTGTTGTATGAATATAGACATAGAATTATCAAATGAATCATGATGAGGCCGTCATTTTTCTTTTTTACTTGCATTTTCATTGCTCTAATTGAGATATTAAGAAGCAGAGTCATCTGCCTTTTCCTTCAATAATAATCCTGATCAAAATTATTGGTTTTCTGTGGAATTTGAAAGCCCTGTCACCTTGCTTGTCTTTCCTAATAATTTTAAGTATTGATATTAATGTTAACATGGACTCATTAGATGTGTAATAGATGCATATAAACAGATACCTAGATAGGTATGAATAAGTGGATCTAACATTAGATTTTTATCTAGACTCTGGGAGAGCTTGCTAAGCCAGAAGTAGTCATGGATCATGACTTTTATTATGTCTAGATACTGTAGGAAAAAAAGGTACAGTCCCTACCTTCAACAGTTTTCTAAGTATGTGTAAGGTCAGGGCAACAGATGAACTAGGCACTAAAAAGGAGTTTAAAAACCAACAAATAACTCAGAATGCAAGCTTTGTTCTCAAAATCAAGGATACCAATTTCAGTATTGTTAAACTTGCAGTCACTGTGACAAAAAAGGATAATAAACAGCTTTGCTGATGTTATGAGAAGTAATCTGAGGTATGAGTTTGCATAAAATTATCAAAGTTTGTAAGGGTTTTATTGGTTTGGGTTTTTTTTTAAACCAAATGTTACTGAAGCTGACTTCTCAAACTGTTTGGAAGTGAGACCTAACATTTCAGCAATGAGTTAAGGCTTCATAGGTAAAGTGAAGATATCTGCAAAGGGTCTTGATGGTGAACACCTTCAGCTTATCTTTGTTAGAAAACAAAAAAAGAATGATATCTCAGGAGGGGTCACAGAGCTGCTGTGGTGGACTGAGAAAATATCCTGTGCATCAGAAGTTCCTTCTAGGCATCTTCTGGGAGATAGACAATTTTATTGCTCTTAACAGATTGTTCTTCACCAGTGCATCCAATCCCTGTGAAGAATTTTGACATATTTAGATTCACTTTTACTACCACTAGTTCCCAACAAACATCCAAGATAGCTGGAACAAATCCTAGCAAAAGGTTGAGAATAATCAGTTTGTTTCTACAGACCTTGTCAAGTACAGAAAATGCCTTTGTGAGCTTTTTTCAGCTCAAAATGTCTTCACCTTTTTTTCTGTCATGGATGCTTGCAGTCTTACTCATTTTGACAGTTCAATGTTTGACAAAAGCATTTATCTGAGCTATTTGGATCTTTCTTAACAAGAGGGTAGTACAAGGATCAGGGGATTGCTTGAGGTCTCAGCAGATTCTGTGACTCAAAGTTTCAAAGTTTCTCTGGAAAATATGTGGTGAGGGGCAGGGGCAGGGAATGTGGGAGGGTTGGAGCGTGAAAATACAAGAAAGGAATTTGTGAGGAGGCTATCAAGCCCTTTGTGAGATCTAAAAGTTAAACTTTGAGTGAGGGAGAAAGAAAAAGCATGAGTTAATAAATAATGCTAAGTGTTCTGCAGAGAATGGTTTTACAAGGCTAAACAGGATAAGGAAACCCAGAAGTGAAGGGGGGGGGGGGGGGATGGGGTATAATTCATTAATTCATACAAATAAGCTGGATGGTAACTTCAAGAGAAAGGTAAAACCTTTATAAAATCTAATGATGTGTAAATACCACCTGCATTAATTATGCGGCACTATTAAATGTTAAAAATCTGAAGCCCGGAACTAGAATAATTAATCTGCCCTTGTGATTGCCTTGGAAGGGAGAGAAATTTACTGTTCCAGCAGTGCAAGCTCAAGTTACAAATAAAGAGGGAAACCTTTTGTTTCCCAGCTCTGTTTTTGAACACATATAGTTTCCCAGGGTAATTTGCTGAAAGTCTAGGGAATAGAGAACTAGAGATACTGTCCTTTAATTTTTTTCTTTTTTTTCTGAAGACCCTGAGTAATTTCAGCCTGAAATCCCCAACTAAGAGCCAGCAATTGTATTGTTGTTATAGATCTGATAAGCTGGGCGCCACACTCTCCAAAAAACTACCCCAGAAACAAAACCCAATCCCTGCAGTTACTGTAATCTGTCACATCATGAAGGATGTGCTACATTAAGTATATGTGGAAACAACAGTTTTCTGGATTTGCTGCTGGCCTAAAGAGCTTGCTTTTCCATAATGTAATTTCTTCAAACAGGGTCTTTTAAGCTGTGTATGCCAAAATGACATTTCAACTCAGAGTCAGCTGTTTACAGTCTGTCTTCCTGTCCTAAATTTTCAGAAAATCACAACAAGTGGCTTTGAACATGGAGGCACTATTTGATGGAATTAATACAGTGTCACCAAGATTCAAAGAAAGAATCACTTCATTATTAGATGCATGTATGAATGAATGTACCACAATGAGAGATGTTCTGGTTACCCTACTTTTAATGTGTGTGTGTGTGAGAGAGAGAAAGAGAGAGAGAGAGAGACAAGCCCTGACTGATACAGCTGTCATTTCCTAAAACTGACATTATTTTATGAGATATAATCACACTGTAAATAAAATGTGGCTTGGTTTTAAGTCAAAAAATTGTGGTCTAGACTGTTTGGTCTTTAACTGAATCTAATATTTTTGTTTTCAGGTATAGGTGCTCAGGAAGCACAAAACTTAAAATATGGAAATGTGTTAATATAGATATGGAAATGTACTTTGTCCAGATTATTTCAAATAAATAATAAAAGGTTGCCTGCCACAGAGAAAATCTATCTTCCATCTGCACCATGGTGGTACTTCTGTCTATGGACAGATTTATAAAATCTGTCTTTGTATGTTTTAAATAACAAGAAAGTTGTAAACCCTTTGGGAAAAAAAAAAAATCAAATCAAGAATCCAGTGGTAAGTTATCTTGCAACTAAAGTCTACCTTTGACAACCCTCTAACAGGAGAGACTGAGGGAATCTCTACTCCTTTGCACATCTCCTAAACCAGTGATAGAAGGTTCTCATAAAAACTGACCACCCTTGAGCCAAAGTCCTTCTATGTTTACAGCTGAGACGCATTTGAACTAAATTATCACATATTAGTGACCGAGCCATGGCAAGTTCATTTCTTATTCTTGTACTGTTCTACCTTGCATGGAATAATTGAAGATTAATTCAGTTAGAGAGAAAAAGAATCAGAAGAGCTGTCTGGGATGCTACTCAAGGGATTTAAGTAAAGAGATAGCAAGTGAGAACACTTAGTTTCCAGTCACTGATCAAAATAAATTGTAAATACTTTAGAATAAATTGACCAGCCTGAGAGTAAAAGATGGAGAGTAGTCTACTGAGCTCAGTGCCTTAGCAGCTGAGGCACCCTGCATGGAAAGTTATATTCCCTGAGGCAGAGGAGAGAAATAAATTTGAGCTATATCTGCTTTAGGTGAGTACTCTTGAGTAAAAAATGAGGGATTGTCTCTTATCATGTCTGTTTTTGGGAGAGTTTGCCAAATGTATCTCTTCATTTCCATTTCTTTCCTTTGCTAAACTTACCTGAAACTAAATTGAAATATTTGGTCTTAGAATCACTTGAAGAAACATTCTAGTTTTAATTTTTTACAGTCATTTTTTCTTTAGTTTTTATTTTAAGGGATAAAAATGCTTATGTGATCAGATCTTTTCTTTCAGTCAACTCCCTAGAAAAAATAATTTTCACACAGACCACATTCCTTACTGTTTTTCTCCTTCTACTGTAAAATTTATTTCTTGGCATTCTTATGTAGTCACGCTTTAAGAAAAGTTCCCTAACTCAACCCATGCTACTAAAAAAAAAAAGATGCATTAAAATTAACAATGCTCTTGTTAATTTTTCAACAAATTAGTAAATGGATCAAGTGATTTAAATAATGTTTGTCTTGGATCTCTTCCAAATGAATCATTACTCTCTCTAAGCATTAGAAAAAAAATGAATAATTGTGGGAATGAAAAAACTTTTACATGGTTCTGGGGTAGATAAATATTTCAGGCAATTAGGATATCAGTTGATAACCTACATCATTAATGCAATAAATCTTTGTACTGATTAAACTTTCTCAGTTAAACTCTTCAATATTTAAGGGATTATTGAAAGATTCAGCCAGAATTAAAAGGCATTACACCACTAGAGATTGTTGAGCAAATGCTGATTCAGATGAGGATGGTCAAAAATCATCAAGGTCAAAGTTGGACTCTGTGCTAGATATTTTTTTTTTAGGCCTTCCAGCATGTGTCACTTTTCTTATACATCAGTCACTCCATTCTTCAGCACTTCTGTTGCAGTCCATCCCTGAGCAGAAACATCAAAATAGTAGGAGATATAATATTAAATTTCCATTAAAATACATAATATGAACTCTTTAATATATATATGAGAATTTAGTGCTGAGTTGCCACTGAAATTCAGTTCAAAGTAGCTTTTTGGGTTTTTTTTTTTTAATTAAAACACAGTAATGTATTTTTATTTGTACAGAGTTAGTACTACAGATCACAGTTTTAGGTGAGATCCAGAGCCATAACATGTACTGGTAGTTGATGTTTCTATAGCATGAGGAAAGACATTTAGAAATATAAAATAAACCTGTCGCCAGTGAAGAGTGGATACTTAGTAAACACTAAACTGATTCCTTTGACACAATGCATCTATTTTACCAAGTAAACAGAGCCTCCCTATGAGAAGAATTTTACAGATGCATAAACAAGTGCCCAGTCTGATGCTCAGTGATTAATATTATCTTCAATAAGTCTGTTTTCCACCTGGCATGGAATGTCAATGCTGTCTTCAACTGATAAATGCCTGTCTTCACTACAGGTAACAGGGCTTGACTTACTGCGATTCTTCTTTCCTGGTAAAGCTGGGAGAGGGCTTCAACTTGTTTTTCTCACATGCTACTTCCATCATGTGCAAGAGATTACGTGCAGATTTTGGCCTTACAGGGATAGAGCTGATACTCCCTTTTTGCCTCTGTGGATGAAAGTAAAACCTTCAGGGCAAATTCATCCCTTGACTTTCAACACTAAGGTATGCTGATCTTGGAATGAAATACACACTCTGAAAAACTATAGAAAGGGAATTTACCCCAATGGTTTGAAAAGAAATCCCAAAAATTTTTATCACTGTTGAGTGATGATTGCAGTCATAAATAAAAGTACAGTTGAAGCATCTCCTTACCAAATTCTATGCACCATAAGACAGTTGCTCTACAGCTCTCTGAAAATGAGGCCAAAGTCATTGCTCTAAGATTTACCTTTTTCTTTCTTATTGCAACAATTTTCAAACAAGTAATTGTACATTGTACTACAGACTAAATAAGATAATAATAACTCCAGTATTTTGTTCCAAATCCTTAAGGCATATACTGCAGTGTGACTAAACATACTTATAAATAAAACTTTCAATTTAGTTAGCAAAAAAAGTTTGTGCAATCATATCTTTCAAAAGTTATAAGGTGCCTATTTAACATAACCAAAAAGATATTTTCAGATTCTAATTTTCAGGGAATTTCCTGGAATAAATTTACTGGCTGAACTTGCATAAATTAACTTTCCTGCCTTCAACACAAAATGCATAAAATTGTTTTGCTATTCCTCTCTGGGTCTGCATACAGCATACATGACTTTAAAAATATGTTTCTTTCAATGCAAATACATCTAAAGATCAGATTTCTATTTCAGGCATTGCACAAGCAGTCACAATGTGCATGTGTTTATTGGACAACTAAATTCATAGATGGAAAGGAGTCAAAAAAAATGCGTAGAAGGATTCATTTGACCTCACAATGTGAATGTAATTAACGTTACATACATCCCTTAATAGCATTCCCCTATTTTCTGTTTGTTGAACCTTGGGTAAAATTTTAACTTTGCTCCTATGGTTGCTCATTTAGGTTACTTTCAGCATTCAAGTGGCCTCAATAATTTGTTGGAATGCTGAAAGGCATATCAGGTGGCATCTTGATCCAGGATCTTGCCTTGCATCATGGAAATCTGATTTAATGGAAGGCACCAATGATTTAAAGACTGTCAGCACAAGCTGGTAAAAGTAACATTGCAAAGTTAAACAGGCAGTAAGAATAAACAAAATAAGTCTACTATGTTGGTGTTAAAATAAAAATGCCTGAAAAGGCACTGATAAGATAGAAAATTCCCTACCTCTGCAGGGGACGTATCCCATAGAGGACAGATTTATGCACATAAGGTGTAGATGGAACATTTGTGCCTAAATTTCAGGCTGCAGAAGACAGTAATTTTTTTTTGGCTCACCGATGAGTCATCAAGATATTATATAAAATGTGAGCAGCAGCATCAGAGGATAACATTGCTCATGAGTGAAGTCATGAGTAGTCTGGCTTGTCCCTAGGTGCCTAAAATGTCATGTCTGTCGAAGAAGAGAGTCAGGACTCTATTAAGCAATTTATTATTTGTCTATCTTTAAATAACCTGCCAATTTTTTTCCCTTTATCTGCAACTCACTGTGTTCAGATTTTTTTGTAGTAGCTTAGAGAATTTAAACATTAGGAGTTAGAATTTGGAAATAGAAGATCCAGGTTGCTAGTGATTACAGTGCAGTGATTAGGCTAACTAGATGAACAAAAGTTTTCTTGTATCACAGCAGTTTTCTTCCATAGCCTGTGTTTCACTTTCACCTGACTAGTTTCCTCCTCCTCTCTCAGCAATGTGTCTCCATTTTCCCTATGTAACCATATGTACCATGCACAGGGACACTTCTCTCTGATATGCTATTGGACAAAAATTGTACCCATACTGTCATGCTATCACCGAACTTCTTAAATTTGCAAATCTGGGTTGTCTCTTTAATCAGCATGTTAATTTTTGTCCTTGTAATACAGGAACTGGAATAGCATGAGTTTTGGCACACGAAATTTACATGTAGAAGCATATTGAATCTGCGGCTTAGGGCATTAGGTCAATTAAATGCCATTATGTATTTTAGCACTAAGAAGTAGATCCTAGGAAGAATATTTTCTCAACCCTATAACTACTAATTGTGCCAGTGAGAAATTAATCACATTTTATTTGTGTATCAGAATTTCAGAATTTAAAAAAAAAAAAAAAAAAAAAAGGTTTAGGGATAGATGACCACCTCCAACCTACCAATATGCTGAATGCATCTCTGCCTGGAACTAACTAGTTAAAAACAGCCTCATGAGGTCTGTTGTTTCTCATTACCCTACTCCGATTTGTTTGATAATAAGTTAAATTATTTTTTTCCCAAGTGAGCTGTTGTTTGCCCAGGATGGAAATTGCTCACTGATCACTCCCTGTCTTTATCTTGCCCCATGAGCCTTTTGTTATGTTTTTTCTTCCCTGTCCAGTTTAGGAGAGGAGTGATAGAGTAGCTTTGATGGGCACTTTTCATCCAGCCAGGGTCAAACCGTCACAATGAGTTATCCAAAAGAGGTAAATATATGTCAAAACAGAATAGAAAATGCTACATACATTATACATACATATATTCAAATATCATAAAATAGAGTATGTTCTGCTCTCATTGATTTCAATGTGTTAATGTGAGTGTTTATATGCATATATATAGCTGGCAGGAAAAAGTGAGCTTGAATGCTCAACCACCTGGGTATTTGGGGCAATTACATATAAGCCATCTCTTTGAGAAGTCAAAAGTAACAGGAACAGACATATATCATTGTCCTTGTAACAGTTCAAACTCAAGGATATTCAATTACTTAGTGACAGCTGATGATTAGATTAGATATGTCCAGTGGAAAACTAAGGGTGAGGGAGGTTTTCATTGAAAGAGAAATGCTCAGAAGCAATTTAATTTCTAATTATTTTTCCTGAATTATTATTTTTTTTTCTTGTTTGAAAAGAGGCTGCTATGCATTATGGGAGGAATCTGATGATTACCATCATTTATTATCCACTGAGTAATGGGCTTCACTTTTCCTTGAAAAAACAATTATAGGAAAGGTTACTTTCATTCTCTGATGGAAAGAGGTGATCTGAAAAGATCATCTAGGTGAATGCACTACAACCAGAGAAGTTAAATAACATCAGGAAGAAGCTTTAGTGCTTTTTAAATGAAAAACTAGCAGCACAATGTTGAAGCTCTCTATACTGTTTCTCAAAGAGAGCAGTAAATATGAGCCATCTAAACCTCGACTGAAACAGCAGAAAAAGAGAATTTAAAAAAGGCCTGATTTTAATAAAGATACACATTTTCAAAGCCTTTTCCAAGTTGCCAACTAAATAACTGTTTCTAAAGATGCACTGTATTGTAAGTAATTTCAAAGTAAACACAAACAATACTTCAACAGTTTTCATGCCCTCTCAGAGTTTGAGTAGCTTGAGTGAGTGTCTGCCAATGCAGTCAGAGTGTTGCGTGCTGTTTATATTTCTTCTTGGAGAGGCAGTGACCAGACAGTATAGAAATACAACAGCAGTCTTATTTTCATGTTAATTCACTGTCATTCTGATATCATTGGTAAATCTTGTATCTAATGCCTGAGAAAATAAGACATAAATATTTCTAAAAGGAGACTTTTATTCATGGATTATAAAACAAATAATTTCTCCTGGGTTGGCTAACTGAGTATGTGTTGCCAGCTACAGCTGGCAAAATTATTAACAAGTTCTCTTGCGATTTCATTTTCATATTTGAACCCCAATGAATATGACAGGAATCAAAAAGAATGCTGAAAGGAAGCCAGAATAGAAGTGTCGCTGACACTTTCATGTTTAAATATCCTGACTGAGTAAACAAGTTAGTTAAAGAAGCCTTTGAAGTCCCAGGCCCATGACTGACTACAGACTACCTTGAAAGAAAAGGTTAATCAGAGGGGTGATCTAGTGATACACAGGAGGAAGAAGGATACTCTTCCAGGATGATCTTTCATCCCTTCCAACCCAGGCTGTTCTATGATTCTGTGAAACTCAAGCACAGTGGGACACACAAGATTCAGGCAGGCTCACTCCCACCTTATGTGCTTGAACATCTGTGAGTCTCTGAGCCTCAGCTGCAGATTAGATGAACTGTGTAATGTAAGGCGATGCTTGTGTTTCTGTGCAGCTATGTTACCATACCTTACTGATCAAAGGAAAGACTATACATTTATATAGTCTGCAATGCAAGTATTATATTACCAGCAAAACTGGTATGTTGGTTCTGCAAAATATTGCAATCATATTTCAACAAACCCATCCAGATGATGATGAATACATGTTTTTTTTAATCATGTTCAGGTAAACACAGGTGCATCATAACACATAACGTCTTTATCCTAAATTTGGTTTTTGCTTGAAGTGAGGAGTAATCCCTGCCATTGGCATTTATCCACCAACAGGACTTTCTAGGAAATATTGTAGGACTTTTTTTTGCTAATGAAGCTGATTTTCTGTATGTTCTTTTCATTCTTTGATCTTTAGAAGGTGTTCTGTCTCTGGAAAATATATATCTACTGGGAACAAAAATTAAATTCTGTAAAATTTATACTTTATCTCTATTAAAATGTCTTGGGACACCTTGATAGCCACTCAGTGTTCTGCTCCAACCTCCCACACAAAATTTGTCATTTGAAAATTTCTGTCTCAAAAATTCTAATCTCATGTGGAGCCATTAGGGTCTGAGGGTACATCCTGAATGCTTTGAAAATGAAAATTATTCTCTTTATTTGCTCTGATAAAACAAGATACTTTATTTTTATTTGAAATTCATAGTTCACAAAGTATTTGCAGTAGTACATGCCTGTAGTTGTGACTTCCAGAAGCATTCATTACTTTATGCACTTGTTCATCAGCCAGTGAGAGTTTTACTGAGGCAATAATGACAGCAGAATGAGAGCATCAACAAATGTTTCCTCCAGCTTGTATTCCTTTTGAAAATCCCCAATACACACATAATGCCAGCCTTCTAAAGAATTCTCAGATAACTAATTCTGCAATATTTATATCATTGTGTGACACCATTCCCCTGCATTTCTATCTCTAGCCAAATAAAAGAGCACACATTGTGCTTTAATCATGATGCCAGTTTTCTGTTTGAAATGAACACCTGTGAACTTTGCACATCAAGGAAAACAACAACACAAAATTTTATTTATTTATCAAGCTATGTACTTTCCCCAGATGCACGAAAAATTTCAAAAATCTCTCCTGCTACTCGGATGGCATTATTAAAACCATGGAACCCAAAGTCTGGGAAACCTGTTCATCTTTTTGTATTGTAGTCCAAACCTAACAA